TCCAGGAGCGCCCCGATGAACTGGATGCGTTGCGAGGGTATCAAGACCGACTTCTCCTGGTTGAGTACGAGGCCCAGCGACTGGAGAAGAGACAAAACCGTGGACACGTGATGTTTCAACAAGTCACGCGACCTAGCCACTATTAGCCAGTCATCAATGTATGGGTACACGGACACGCCCCTCGTCCTCAGGTGTGCGGCTACAACGGCCATACACTTTGTGAATACCCGTGGGGCAGCTGAAAGGCCAAAAGGCAAGACATTAAAACAATATGCCTGACCATTGACCCGAAAGGAGAGAAACCTCCGGTGATGCGGGGCAATGGAAATGTGGAAGTATGCGTCTTTAAGGTCGACGGTCGCAAACCAGGCCCCCCGAAAGAGCAGGGGGGCTATGGAAGCAAGAGTCACCATACGAAATCTTTTGGGCTTAATATGTTTATTGAGAGCTCTAAGGTCAAGAATAGGACGCATTCCACCTCCACGTTTAACAATCAGAAAGTATCTAGAAAAGAAACAGAACGGAACCGCAGAAGGGTCCACTAGAGAGATGGCCCCCTTTTGTAACAACATTTTAATTTCCTCCATAATTTGAGGGGAAAAGGGCGTGTCCCGAACCAAGCCCACTCTGGGGGCGTCTTCAAATTCAATGCTATAACCATTAGCAACAATAGATAACACCCAGGCATCTGTGGTGATGTTCGCCCATTCATTGTAGAAGGGGGCGAGCCTGTCTTCGAACCAGGGAAATGTCCCAACGGGGCTGTCAACATTCGAGGGAAGTGAACCATGAGGGGATGGAGTAACAAAGTGGGCGTCCCGTAACAAGCCGGACGGATGTTCGGTTACATCTTGTCCGCTATTCCCCCTAGAGGCATCAAAAGCGCTTCTTGGAGGCGCCAGAAGGCTTGGGTTTCCCCTGAAAGGGTTGAGCCCTGTTCCTTTGGAAATAGGGAGCTCGGCGACCACCCTGAAACCTTGACGAACCCGTCGAGCGATTTCTGAAAGGGCCAGAAAAGGAGTTGTTAAATGGCCTACGGTAGGAGGGGGTAGAAGTTTGCCACCTTGGCTTTTGTTGGCTATATGGCTGCCAAGTGCCAAGCCGAATTTAGAGGCAGATTGCCTAACATCTTGTTTCTGCTTCAAATGGTCGTCCGTATTGGGATTAAATAAGCCCTCCTCGTGAAAGGGGAGGTCCTCAGCCAAGGCCTTCCCCTCCTCTGAAAGATTAGCGGCCCTTAGCCAGGCGTGCCTACGAATGGTGGTGGCCGTGGCAAACAAATTCCCCGCTGTTTCCGCCATGTGTTTGGCGAAGTCCTTCTGTAGTTTTGACAGCGCCAGGGCCTCACCTTGTAAAGCTTTAGCCAGGCGTTGGTCTTCCCCTGGTATGGACTCAATATACAGCAACATTCGGTTCCACAAAAATGATTGGTAACCGCTCATATATGTTGCATAATGAGCCATGCGTGTGTATAAACTGGCAGAAAGGTAAGCCTTTTTACCCAGGGTGTCTAATTTTCTCCCCTCCCTGTCAGGGGGGGTGGTTACTGAGCTTTTGGGGCGTTTAGACTTAGTGACCTCTGCCACCACAGTGTTTGCCTTAGGAGGAGCTAACACCCACTTGGCCGTAGCCAAATCAATCTTATATAACGTGTCCAACCTTCTAGGGACCGCCGGTACGGCCGAGGGTGACATGTCGGCCACCTTAGCTAACTTTAGTAAGTAAGGCAAAAGTGGGAGAGCAGAGGAGGAGACCACATTTTGTTCATCCGACGGAAACATCGGATCCTCCACATGCTCAGGTGGCTTTGGGGCAGGTATATTCAATACTTTTACCATACGCTCCACTAAAGCTGCAAACTTGTGAAAATCAGCAGGCATAGTACAAGAAGCATCCTCACCCCCTAGAGTTTGGGACGGATCAGGAGGCTCTGAGCCAGAGTCACTGTCCCTTGGATCAACAATGTCCTGATCCACGGCTCTGGAGGAGTCCACAACAGTTGCTCCCATCGGGGTGGCCATGGTTGGGCCCAGTTCAGTCATAGGGGCAGGGTCCGCATTCGCAGAGACCAACAAAGCAGGAGACATGCACACCGCAAGTTCCCTTGAAGTCGCAGCGCCCCCTTCCGCCTCTTGGCGATGCATCGGAGTACCGTACGGTGCCTGGCCCGCCTCCGCGTCTCGGCGGGATACTTGATGGCCTCTCGTCGAGAAGTTCCCCACAGCAGGGGTTAGGAAGGAGCCCGCCGGGGTTCCCTGCAAGGGAGGAGCCCCCACAGAGGCTGAGGCCATCCGCCCCGGGACACCTCCGTGCTCCAGCAGAGGGGGAGGAGGAGGGGGTCCCGCTGGCACTGAATACGGGATCGGGGCCGGCACGTAGACCAGTTGGCCAGAGGGAGCCATCTGCCAGTAGCCCTGACACTCAGCTGGCCGGGTCGATGGGGCCCTGGAACGGTGGGAGCGTCTCCGACGCCTGGAACCCGAGGAGGAAGACGAGGAGGAGGTCGAAGATGAGGAAGAGCAGGAGGAGGACCTTGAACGCCGGCTCGACCTCGTGGAAGCTCTGTGCCCTCGGTGCCCAGAGCTCCTGCTCCTGCGGGAGGGGCATCTAGAGCGCCTCGGGCGCTTGCTCGGGCGGCGCGATCCTCTGTCGCCTCTCAGTTGGCCTCGATATGGGGCCGTCATTGGGGCCGACACCGGCATCGTCGGGCCGCAGGAGGTACTCTCTGGCCTCTCCGCCGGTATCGGGTGGAAGCTAGATGCCGGCTGCCCCGGGGAAGGTGCCTCCCTCCTCAGGTCGGAGGCATCAAAGGGCGGAGCCTCAGAGAGGGAACCCGGAGAAGCCCTTCGCGCCGCTGCCTCAACCACATCGGTGGGGGGAGCGTTGTAGATGCCCCCGAACGCGCCGCTACCGGACGGCGCCGATTCCAGGGGAGGCGTAGTGGGAGGAGCCACAGAGGCTGGTCTCCCATCCCTCTGCGCAGACTCCCCGCTGACTCCGCCCCCTGAGGGGGAGAGTGTAGGCATCAGGGGAGTCGAGAAGGACTCAGAGACCGGGCCCTCCGGTCCCGACTGCTGCGCCCTGAAAGGAGTCACATCCCCCACCTCGAGGGACAAGGTAGGCGCCCGGAGCAGCCGGCTTGACTGGCCTGGAGTCTCCGCCATTGTAGAGGGCGGGGCTCGAGCAGCAGAGGAAGAAGAGGCGCTTCCCGCCCTTTTTGGAGCTGCTTTTTTTCGCTGCAGCGGCTCGCGGCCATCTTGTGAGGCCTTGTCCTTAGGCCTTTTGGGCTTCTTTTTGGCTAGCCCCATAGCCTGATCCAGAAGAGGCACAGCCGAGAGCGCTGGGGCCGCTTGTTGCGGCGATGGAGCAGGGGGAAGTAGGGCCCTCTCGTAAAGCGCCGCCTTAAGCCTCAGCTCCCGGTTCTTTCTAGTCTGTGGCGTGAAGGCCATGCAGACTGAACAGGCTTGGGTGAGGTGACCCTCTCCAAGGCATGCTAAACATAGGGAATGCCCATCAGTGTCAGGGTAGGTGTTGGGGCATTTGGAGCACCGCTTAAAGGAGGTAGTGGCCATCACGCCAGAAGCACGTGAAGGCCGGTAGTTGAAGGAATGGTCAAACAGTCCGGGTAAATCGCCAGCAAACAGAGTCCAAAACAGAGTCCAATACCTTTGTCACAAATCAGTCCAGTCAAATTGATCAAAGATCAGTCCAGTCAAAATCCAAGAAGCTCGCAAAGAGAAGAGGTTCTCAAGCTACTGCAATAGCGCGGAAAAGAGAACTGCTGGCTAGCCCCGCCCTCGGGCTACTTATACTCGGGGGAGGGTGGGCGGGTCTAGCTGGGGTCAAAATTGTTATTTTAAATTCTAGAAGGTTCCGAAAGCTGCGCATGCGCACAATACCAAATGTACGATTCACAGTGACTACGACAGGAAAATACATAGAGCCAAATCGTCAAGATAAAATCACATTCATCACAATCCACCAGTGTAGTCAGTAGTTATTAGGTTATTATTGACTCGCCAATCATTCTGAGAATGCTATGTTCCAGAGCCAGGGGCAGATCTAATCTCCATCAGGGGAGAGTTCCACAGCTGAGGGGCCACCACCGAGAAGGCCCTGTCTCTCATCCCAACCAGACGCGATTGCGAAGGTGGTGGGAACGAGAGCAGGGCCCATCCAGAAGATCTTAACAACGTTGATGGTTCGTAGGGGAGAATCCGTTCAGACAGGTAAACTGGGCTGGAGCCATTTAGGGATTTATAGGTTAACACCAGCACTCTGAATTGTGCTCAGAAGCTAATTGGCAGTCAGTGGAGCACTTTCTAGCACCCACTTTTTGCTTGATATTCAGGCAGTGCTTCTTGTAGATCAGAGCACGGTCCAGGGTAACTCCAAGGTGTTTTGGTATGCTGCAATGCTCCAGTGGGATTCCTTCCCAGGTAATCCTCAGAGCTCCAGATGCTTGCCTGTGAGATGCTCGTCTCCAGAAGCGACGTAGTAAAAGCTCAGATAAGGGAACCTTGTGCAAAGCAGGAGTAATTCCACCAAACTGAAGCCCAAGACTGGAATCATAAAATCAAACCTAGGTACCACAAGGTCTAATGTGGTTATCCCTGTGGGAAAAGGGCCTTTGTACTTTCAATTATCATTTAAAACTAATAGCACATGCACACATTCATCTTGCACAACAAATGACCGAAAGCTAAGAAGCCATTTGCAATATTGCAGGATCCTGGAAATGTCAATAACTGAGGCAGACTGATAATTAGGCAAAGACTTTCTGAATAAATGATGGGCATCTTTGAAACGAAGTGCCTTCTGCTATCTTTTTCATATTTAATAAGACTAATAATGTTTAGTCTGTATTACAGAACATCAACAGCAAAACAAATACTCAGCTTCTGCATAATGTAATTTCTATTATTGCATTTGTTTGAAATTGTTGTTCAATGCCTTCTTTAATTGTTTCTCTTTAGGGACTTCCTTGGGTCCCAAACAAATTGAATAAGTAAGTAAATAAATTCTTAATACACACCTGATTCATCCACAACAGGTAGTGCTGATATCCTTCTATCTACAAATATATTCAAAGCTTTAATGATAGGAGTGTCCGGGTGTATAAAGGCGATATTGTCGTAGGTTCCTATCCCAAGTTCATCCAGATTTTTCTTCATAAAGGCAGGCTTTGGCATTTCTGACACCTACAAATTGCATAATAATAATAATAATCATCATCATCATCATCATCCAGCATATAGATCTCATTTGCTGTGACAAACTCTGTTTTCGTGTCTATAAAATAATAATAATAATAATAATAATAATAATAATAATAATAGAAACGTTCTTGATCAGCACATGTTACATTTGCAAAGCTATATGGCCAACACACTTTTCAATGGCATCACAAAAATTACTAAGTCTTTAAATAGATACTATACATTAAGAGTCTGGGTTGTTCTGAGTTTTCTGGGCTGTATGACCAAGTTCCAGAAGCGTTCTCTCCTGACATTTCACCCACATCAAAACATCCAGGCATCATTGCAGTTGGCCAATTTTCTCACACCAGAAGCAACTTGCAGTTTCTCAAGTCGTTCCTACACAGAAAAAAAACCCCACATCTATGGCAGGCATCCTCAGAGGTTGTGAGGTCTGTTGGAAACTAGGCAAGTGGGGTTTAAATTCCCCCAGGCAGGCAGCAGCCAGGCTTTGAAGCTGCAAAGCCATTCAATGCTAATCATGCTGGCCAACTGCAACATTCACACTTGTCTCCAACATACAAGAGTTATTTCACCCACCCTGGACATTATTCCACAGATATATAAACCCAACTTGCCTAGTTTCCAACAGAACCCTCAACCTCTGGGGATGGCTGCCATAGAGAGGCAACCATCCCCAGAGGCCCTGCTTGCGATCCCACCTGCGTCGCAGGCGCGCTTGGTGGGGACGAGGGATAGGGCCTTTTCTGTGGTTGCCCCCCGACTTTGGAACGACCTCCCCAAAGACATTAGACTAGCACCCACGTTGGCAGTCTTTAGGAAGAACTTGAAGACCTGGCTATTCCGATGTGCCTTTCCAGAATAGGATAACCCAGCACTTTGTCCCAGAAGCACTTTACTAGAGTTTAAGACTCTCTGCACATGGCACTTGCCCAGAATTCCAATACACCTCCTGTCACACCCAGCATTTTTTAACCTGTACCCATCATTGGCCCGGCCATGGTTTTTATTGTGTAATAGTGTAATGTTTTGTTATTGCTTATGTTTTTTAATTTGCTTTCTTTGTATTGTTGTTGTTTACTGCTGTTGTGTTGAGGCCTTGGCCTTTGTAAGCTGCATCGAGTCCTTCGGGAGATGCTAGCGGGGTACAAATAAAGTTTAATAATAATAATAATAATAATAATAATAATAATAATAATAATAATAATAGATGTGGGCAGGAAGCAACCGGGCATTGAAGCTGCAAGGCCATTAAATGCATTTGCAACATTCACACCTGCTTCAAGCAGACAAAAGTTCTTTCTTCCACCCAGGACTTTCCACAGATATATAAACCCCATTTGCTTAGTTTCCAACAGACCTCACAACCTCTGAGGATGATTGCCATAGATGTGGGCGAAACGTCAGGAAAGGATACTTCTGGAACATGGAAAGACAGTCTGGAAAACTCGCAGTGATTCCGTACACGAAAGCCTTCAACAACACATTAAAAGTCTACAAAATATTCAAACTGAGCTAGCATATCTAATGCCATTTGTAAACTATTACTACTTATACACACCTTGTCCCCCACAGTATCATGGGGAAGCTGCACTTTAAGGAAGGTATCTTATATAATCACAATAATATTGCAGAGTACTGTTAAGTGACAACGACCAACTACTTGTAGACAGGCAAAACATGCAAAGTTTTAGTTTTCCTGTGCGCTTATTATAGCAGTAGCAAGGCAATTAATCTGGAATGTAAGTTAAGGCAGATCAATTTACTTACAAAAAGCTGGAGAAACTTGAGTATTCTTTTATGGGTAAGGATATAAAGTGCATTTCCACTCACAGGATCAATAACAGGCAATCTGTGGATTTTGTTTTTGATCAGTGAATACACAGCATCATAAAGGCTGGAGAGAAAAGTGTTGCATCTATTAGTAGATTCTGCCATCCTTTCAAAATACATTTTTAACATGTAAGCCTGAATCCTGTCGGCAATTCCAACTGAGTAACTAGGATTTATCAAAGCGTTGACTCTCCAATACTTGAGTCATCCAAGGGGTTCTAGGCCATAATGTTGGATAGTAATTTGAAAATGGAACTAGAAAACGCAGACTTTGATTTTGCAATTATTAGACAAGCAACGGTACTGTTTAATATCAATGTGGGATCCCTTAAATCAAAACAAGAGCAGGAAAATACTATTAGAGACAACAATAATCCCAAAACAGTTTTTTTGCTAGGTGACTCAATGCTGCTTGAAGGGTTTGCACATGAAAAAATGACTACCATATATACTCGAGTATAAGCCGACCCGAATATAAGCCGAGGCACCTAATTTTAACACAGAAAACTGGGAAAACATATTGACTCGAGTATAAGCCAAGGGTGAGAAATGAAGTCCCTACTGGTAAATTTCAAAATAAAAAATAGGTAACAATAAAATTATATTATATTGAGGCATCAGGAGGTGAAATGGTGTTGAATATTTACATAAAATTGTAATTTGAGATAAGGCTGCCCAACTCTAATTAAATCATTATTCTAACCTTCTTCAATGTAAATGTATTTACGTATCCTTCCAACAATAATAAAGAGAGTAAAATAATGAATATAATGATGATAATAATAAATCAAAATAATGGAAATGCAATAATAACCGTAATAATAGAGTAAAATAATAAATGCAATAATAATAAAGTATAATAAACGTAATAATAATAATAATAATAATAATAGATTAAAATACTGCAAATGTAATAAAATAATACATGAAATAAAAATAATATTAATAACAGAATAAAAGAATAACTAACCTTAACTCAAGTATAAGCTTAGGGGAGCTTTTTCAGCCTAAAAAAAGGGCTTATACTCGAGTATATTCAGTAATAATTATCCTGTTATAGATACAAACTTCATCTATACTGGTATGGGACTCAGGTAGCTTTCCAGGTGTTGAGTTACACTATGTAACAAAATTTGAAAAATGTTCAATTCCCTCCTCCCTATGACTCCCCCTCACATATTTATACATGGCCCTCATCATGTCTCTTCTCAGCCTTCTCTAATGCAGGCTAAATATGCTCAGCTCTTTAAGCCGCTCCTCATAAGGCTTGTTCTCCAGACCCTTGATCCTTTGAGTCACCCTCCTCTGGACACATTCCAGCTTGTCAACATCTCCCTTCAATTGCGGTGTACAGAATTGGACACAGTGTGACTCCAGATATGGTCTGAGGCAGAATAGAGGGGTAGCATGACTTCCCTGGATCTAGACACTAGACTCCTGTTTCTGCAGGCCAAAATCCCATTGGCTTTTTAAGCTGCAGCATGACATTGTTGGCTCATGTTCACCTTCCTGTCCATGATCCAAGATCTTTTTCACATATACTGCTATCAAGTCAGGTGACTCCCATTCTGTATCTTTGCATTTCATTTTTTCTGCCTAAGTGAAGTATCTTGCATTTGTCTCTATTGGAACTTAATTTTGTTAGTTTTGGCCCATATCTCTAATCTGTTGGGATCATTTTGAATTCTGCTCCTGTCTTCCGGAGTATTAGTTATCCCTCCCAATTTGGTGTTATCTGCAAACTTGATGATCAAATGTGCTCAAACACCCTCCCCTGCTTCCCAATTTTCTGATAAATACATTAAGACAATTTACATCAAAATAAATCTGGAAAAGCAACAACAGTAAAAGAGAACTTACCTTGCATCTGGTGAAATATTCACTAAAGGCTTAAAGGTTTCTTGCAAATAAAGCTCTGTGTGATTAAACAGAGTAAATATTTTTATAAAGCAACAAAAACAATATCTTTCAAAGAATTTTTATTTATATAGATTGTTGGGCTTGCCTTGTAAGCTGCACCAAGTCCCCTTGGGGAGATGGTGGCAGGATA